TATATTAATTTTCGATCACAAATCAAAAAAATTATAGGTCACAAATCACAAATTTTATAAATTACAAGTCAAATTTTTAGATCGCATTATTTGTTAGTCATAAGTTATCGGTCACATATCATCACAATCTCAATAATTGGTTATAGACACTATTAACTCCACCACCTACTCTACCCAATCCCAATCCACCATTGCACCACAACCTCACCATCATAGCTAATGTCTTCGCCGTCGTCACCCCATCACGACCAAACTACCATTTCAATTTCAAAACCACCACAACCACCAACAAACCACCATTTTCAACTACAAAAACGCTATTGCCATCGGTAGATCCATCGCAGATCCAACAAAAGTCACCCCAATTACCAGGTCCACCACCCCTACTATCGCCACCAACAAAAATGACCACCACCACCGCCAACAAAAACCACAACCACCACTAGATCCAACAAAACCATTCAGTCGTCGTCGCCACCACCACGATGTCGTCGCCACCACCACGATGTCGCCACCTCCCTTCCACGCCGCCAACACCAACACAAAAAACCCAAACCTTATTTAGGCGTACCGCCTGGAACCACTCCATCATCATCGCCATTACCACGACGCCGCCACCAACACCAACCAGCCACCAAGACAACGGCACCACCGCCCCTCCACTACCACCACCACCACCACCACCAACACAAAAACAACATCCAAGCCTTATTTAAGCGCACCGCCTGGAACCACTCAGTCCCCATCGCCATCGCCATCACCACGGCGCTGCCCCCAACACCAATCGTTGCACTAGATCTAACAAAATCACTATGTCGCCACCACCACAGCACCGCCACCAACACTAACCAGCCACCACCAACACAAAAACAACAACCACGCCTAATTTCTAGTGCAACTAAGAATGCACAACACATGGAACCGTTGCTGCAAAAGAACTGTGAATGATGGCATGAAAATAGGGAGAGAGAGTGTACTACCAAAAAAGAGAATAGAGAAGGGATAATAATTTGTCGCTGCTGTGAAAATCGAGAGAGGGAGAGAGAGCCACCGATAGAGAAAAGGCAGAGAGAGTAAAAAAAGAAGACAAATAAGAATGAGAAAGATTTAGGTGCCGTTCTCTTTGGCTGTTTTGGGTCGTTTTCTGTTTTCTGTTTTTCAAAACAACAAA